CCAGGCAGAGAGAGGTTTGCCTATGAGCATGGTTGAGGAGTGGCTTTCCTGACTGGAAGAACTGTGCTCTGAACTTTTTTGTCCTGAATTATAACCAGTGAATAAGGAAGATCGTAGAAGAATTGATGCCTTTGAATTGTGTTGGAGGAGAATACTTAAAGTGCCATGGGCTGCCAAAAGAACCAATAGATCTGTTTTGGAATAAGTGCAGCCAGAGTGCTCCTTGAAGGCCAGGATGGCTAAGCTTCGTCTCTCATATTTTGGATATATTGTCAGGAGGGACCAGTTGCTGGAGAAGGAGATCATGCTTGGTTAAGATGGAGGGTCAGAGAAAAAGAGGAAGACCCCCCCAACGAGATGGATCAGCCAGGTGGCATCATTGATGGCGTCAAGTGTGGCAGCAGTAGTGAGGTTGGCCCAGGATCAGACGTTGTTTCATTCTGCTGCGCATGGGGTCACTATGAGTCGATTCCGACTCGATGGCACCTGATGACAACAACAACAACAACTTTCCTAATCCCCATAACTGAGTATGGTGTCTGAGTTCTGAGAGATCATTGCAATGAATTATCAACTCAGCTGAATAGAGAGTGCTATGGGTGGGATGTTTAGTGGTTGGTTTTTTGTTGTTTGATGGTTGTAGTGGTGTTCATTGGAATGGCTGCAGACTCATGGAAGTAACAGAAAGAACAGAGAGCATGGGAAATAAAGGTTTTGATCATTAGAAGGTTACTTTGGCTATAGTTTGTTACCTGTAATAGCTGAAAGGAATGTAAGAGACATAAGGCTGCTACTGGAATCACCTGGGGCAAAAGCCTGGCTGGGTAAACAAGGAGATTAATAGGGACAGGGGCCTACTTGCTCCACCTTGCCAGCCAGAGGCCCAAGGCCCTATGCAAATGTGTGTTAAAAATAGGGGTGTCTTGATTACAGAGAGCTTGTAAGCACACCTTCAGTCTATACTTGATTGGATATGCTAAAAGGGGCGTTAAGACTTGCCTGGAGGAAACAGCTTTCTGTTTTAAGTCTTTCTAGAGTAAGGGACTTAGGTGGAAATCTGAGCCTCACCCAGAACTGCTGAAGACATCTGAAGGAGAGACATGTAGAAAGAAAAATGATTGGCATTTTGAATTTCGAGTAAGCAGCTTGTCACTGTCTGGATGCATTGAGTCTGAAAAAGTCTGTGCCCAGCCCAACAGAGACTATCTTCTGGGACAGAAAGTTAAAGGGAGCTGGTGATTAGGTAGTCTGGTATGTTTATTGTGCTGACCACCTGATTTTACTCGAGTGAGAGTAGGGGAGATTACATCAATGAAGAGACAGGTTGAGAGAGATGAGGAAGGACAGGCTGGCCTGAAGTTTAGGAGTTGTGTGGACTCCTGAGCCTATAGGCACTGACCTAGTCCATGGGGGCTAGGGCTGAGAGAGAAGAGAGACCAGCTCATCTGAAGTACAAGGACATGTATGTGAATTCCCAAGCTTGCAGCTGGTACCCATTTGACCTAGCTAGGATGGTTAGGGCTGAATGAACCAAAACCCGACCTAGTGAAGAGAGAGGTTTGCTACTGTAAACAGTTGTAAATCATTGCAATTTTGATGGCTTGCTCTGGACTGGACATTGCTTTTGATTGCAGATGCACAAAGTTCCAACACGAATAGAAGATTCTTCACATAAAGGAACACACTTGTTATCTGAATGTACTGGGTTGAAATTTAGAAATTGGATCTCTAACATCAGGGGAAATAAAGGAAAGGCATGAAGTAGCTGGATTGTAAGCTTTCTTGGAGTGCTTTAAGTTAAAATTATATGGGGAAAATCAATCTATCATATATGAAAGGTTCAGTGGCTAAAAGAGCCCGGAGGTGGCCTGTGGTGTAGTGAATTATTTAATTAGAGGGGTCTCTTCTAGCCATAGTCTTTGTAAACTCCTACCAGACAACAGTTTTGCTTTGTTGAGTCTGGGCAAATGAAGGTGTGAGAAGATACTGACAAGATTATATTATTGAGTTATAAGTGGTTAACAGGGTTAATTGTGGTTGTAAATACCTGGAACTCTAATGTGTATAAAATGAGTAATCACAGAAATAGGAATGGTGATCTCACTACCACCAAAGAAGAGCTCGGAGTGGAGCATGTCTTTTGGACCCTGAGATCTTTGTGCTTTGAACCTCCTTGACCCAGGGACCACTAGAGAAGTAGCAGCAGCAGCAGAGCCAAGGGCCAGAGCAGTGGGCTTCCCAGCCCAGAGAGCCAGTAAAGTGGGCTTACAGAGCAGGGTGGCTCCAGGCACTTAATTGGGGGAGCTAGGTTTGCTGACCCATGGAGGCAGGGCCAGGTATCTTCAGGCTGAGGCTTATATTGGAACAGTGTGCCCTATGAGCATTTATCAGCAGCCCTAAAAAAGAGATTTGTAACATTGGATGGGCAGAGAGGCCTACCTGTGGGCGAGGCTGTCCTGTATTGTAACCTGTTAACTTTGCCAATAAACCCCATAACTCTGAGTATGGTGTCTGAGTTCTGTGTGGTAACTGTGCTGTATTATCAAACCTAGCTGACTAGAGTGTGCTGTGGATGTTGTTGCTAAGTGCTGTCAAGTCGGTTTCAACCCATAACGACCCTGAATAGGATTTCCAAGGCTTTACATCTTTACGGGAGCAGATCACCTCATCTTTCTTCCGCCAAGCAGCTGGTAGTTTCGAACTGTTGACCTTCCGGTTCGCAGCCCGATTTGTAACCACTACGCTACGTTTAATAGTGCATCCCTTTACAAACGACAAATTTTGCAGGATTGTGGCTGAAGATCTTCCAACCACGTGGGAGGCATGCAAGCATGTTCAGTGGGAACTGTTGTGTGTAATGGAATTGAGAATTGAGCTGAAGCAGAATTCAATGACTAAATGGCAAGTGGGATTTTCTTTTTCTTTTTTGAGTTTTTGAACAAAAACTCAAATGGGCAGCTATGATGAATACTGAGTATTTGCTCTGATGCCTCCCACATGCCATGGGGGAAGATGACTGGAGACTGTAAGTAACTTACCTTCCTCTGACATAATGTGCTTGAACCAATATTATGCCCAGGGGAGATCCCAGGAGACAGAGAACTCTGTGCAGAGAACACAAACGCAACACAAGGAACTGAAGTGAGACTCCATGGGAGGAGGCAATTACCCTGGCGTGGCGCTGTGGGTTAATGCACTGAACTGCAAAGTCAGCAGTTGAAGCTCACCAGCCGCTCCTCGGAAACACTATAAAGGGTCGCTCTGAGTCGGAGTCTTGGTGTAGCTCTGTGGATTAATGCAATGGACCGCAAAGTCAGTTTAAACTGCAAGGTCAGTGGTTCAAACTCACCAGTCGACCCTTGGAAACCCTATACCGGGTCGCTATGGGGCGGAACCGACTCAATGGCACATAGCAACAATAAGAGTTAGAACAGACTCAACTCCACAACACTTAACAACTGCCTTGGAAGTGGGGTCCACTTATCACGATATTGTCACTCGCAGGTGTCAATAAGGGGCTTTGGACTCACCTAGCATTACACTGTAAAGAACTTTGGTAGCGTAGTGGTTACGAATCACGCTGCTAACCTCAAGGTCAGCAGTTCGAAACTACCAGCTGTTCTGCGGGAGAAAGATGAGGCTTTTTGGTCCCGTAAAGATTTACAGCCTTGGAAACCCTGTGCCAGGTCGCTATGAGTCGGAAAGGACTCCACGGCACTTAACAACAACAGCGTTATAGCGTGCAGGTTGCAATCAATGTCACGTTAGAATATATATATATGAATTGTTGAGTACAAAACCAATTTGTTCTGTAAACTTTCACCCAAATTAGTTATTAAAAAATCACCTAGTGAATCACGTGGTAGGCAAACATAAAATGTCAACACAGGCACTGCGACCCTAAGTTACCAGAAGCACTTTGGTCTGAGCAGACTGACCCAGAGCCAGGGGAGGGCGGCCACAGGCAGGCGTGGTGCCACCCTGAATGGGACCGAGGCTCTCACAGGCGTCTGGCACGGCCGGGGACTGAGCAGCGTTTGGGAGCCGGACACCAGCCCAGCCCGCCGCTCCGCTCCGGCTGGCTTCCTGCCCTCTGCACTCACCACGGCTGCCCACTAAGGACCAATAGGTCCCAACGTCCGCGCGCTGGTCTCTGCCCAGACGCAGGCGCCTCTGACGTCAAGCTGACGTCAGACGTGACGCCACGGCGGGGCGGCAGTGGGGACAGCGCAGGAGGGCGTTTCCGGAGCACGCGCTGGGCGAGGGCCGCCGACGTCGGGCTCAGGTGCGCGCGCGCGCCCGCCCGCCCGCGCGGCCCAGGTGGCGGCCGGCAGCTCCTGGTGGCGGCTGGTGGAGGTGAGGGCTGGCGGTCGGTGCTTGGGCGAGGGGTCTAGGCGGCGCAGAGGGCTGGATCTGGGAGCGGCGGGAGGACGCCTCGCCTTGTGCTCACGTGACGGGCTGGAGCTGGGGTGGGGGCGGCAAGCCGGGGGGCCTGTCCCTTGGCATCCACAGCCGGGAGGGCGAGGCGGCTTGTTGGTCTCCACCCTCGCGGGCCTGCTCGCCGCCGCGCGGGCCCTTCCCTCGGGCAGGGGCCGGCCCCGCCGCACTGCTTCCCGGGACAGCAGGGCTGACGGGGACTTGTCTCCTCCCCAGGGCCGTGGCGAGGGGTGAGTCCACGCTTTGCGCGACGAGATGGAGAGCCGCCCCCGAGGCCCAAGCGCTGACCGTGACCCCACGCTGGCCGGTCCTCGCTAGCTGCTCGGATTTGCGTGTTTGATCCACCACCTAGGCCTGGTCTCCTAGGTCCGTGGTGTCGGGGTTTGAAAAGAAATGGAAGAAAAGGAACGATGTGACCGATCCCGTGCGGTCCATTTGCATTGAGGCCTGGTTGGCATTTGCAGAGGAAAACACAGCCAGCAAATCGTGGGTTTGGGAGGGCAGTGGGGTGGGACAAGGCGCGTGAGAAAAGAGAAAGTCGTAGATTTTATGGTTTTGTTTTGTTTTAAACTCTGCGTTTTGGCAGTGCTAGCGAAATACACGAATTCAAGAGTTATTTTTCTATTGAGAAGAGAGAAGCGGATTTTTTTTTTTTCCCTTTTGACTCCAACCCTGTCTCCCAGTGACAAAGCATAAATCATGGACACCAGAAAATAAGGTGGATCTCAGGAACCGTGCGAAGACTGGGGAGAGTGCATTCTTCCTCGCGAGGGGAGGCTGGGTGTTTTTTAGTCCTTTCTGGAACCTAAAACGAAAAACATGAGTTGTGTGCCATGGAAGGGAGACAAAGCCAAATCGGAATCCGTGGAGCTGCCCCAGGCAGCGCCCCCACAAATCTACCACGAGAAGCAGCGCAGGGAGCTTTGTGCCCTCCATGCCCTCAACAACGTCTTCCAGGACAGCAACGCCTTCACCCGCGAAACGCTGCAAGAGATTTTCCAGAGGTAGGGGACCCTGCGCCTTGGTGTGTTACTTCTTGTTGTTAAGTGCTGTTGAGTTAGTTCCGACTCATAGCGACCCTATATAGGGTTTCTGAGGTTTTAAATCTTTGCGGGAGCAGAAAGCTTCATTCGTCTTCTGTGAGAGCTGCTGGTGGGCTCGAACCACAGACCTTGTGGTTCTGAATCCAGTATTTATTGTTTGGAACCACTGTGCTGCTTGGTGTGTTACTTAATACTTTAGATTTCCAAATTTCTGTGAGTGGGTCAGAATGCCTCGGCTGCATGTCCCTGCATACCCACAGGTAGGTATTATTAGCCAGATCCAATCAGTAGCTCCAAGGGACACAGGGATGGGAAAGATAGTGATGACTACCATAGATAAAACACTGAAAGCTTGACTTCTGTTAGCCCTGTTCTATTATCCCCTCAGCAATTCCATGGAATCCTTTACAGGGCTTGTTCCCATTTTACAGGTAAAGACAGGGTTCAGAGGTTGAGCAATCTGCCCAAGGTAGTGTAGTAAGAGATGGAGCCAGGCTTGAATGCAGGTTTGTATCTATGCTGCTGATCACTATGCTGTAATGCTTCTTGCCCTGCTCCCCCAGCCCCCCAAGGAGTTTACAGTCTAGAAGGGGCACAAGGTATGTATGAACTCAGATACACCTGCATTCCAAGGTGGAATGTTCTGGGTGGATGTGTACCGAATGTTCAGCTTTTCTGAGAGGCCATGTGCTAGCCTAGGGGCTTCTCCTGCATTTTGTGTAGCCCTCCCCACAGTCTTTTCACCATCTTTGTTTTACTGCCGTAGGACAAGGCAGAAATGTCAGGTATATTGTCCAAATGGCTTCAACTAGCAAAGCTATGATTTAAAGCTGACTTGGGATCCTCCTCCCCTTTTTGACCTTATGCACTTGAAAGCGAGATTGCCACCCCACAGGTGGAGAGAGATTCTGCTCTTTTCCCTTTGCTGTGATAGCTTTTGAAATTTTTTTATCTAAGGGTTTGAGAATTTGCCTTGCAGTGTATGGATAGGCACAGCATCATGTCTGCAATCTGTAGCAACTTTGGCTGTGAGCCTGTTTGATCAGTCCAGCTAGGAAGGGCTGGGCCTGCTCAGCCCTCAGTTCAGAGAAAGCTACAGAAGTCTCCCAGAGGCACATGTTGGCCCTTCCCAAAGACTCTTTGCCGACTCCCTTCCTTTGGAGATGAAACTGCCCTTCAGAGACCTGACACACAGCAGGGAGCCATCTGCTTTGGGTGCTAGGAAGCACAAGTGTAGATGGCTTACCATACAGGCCCCATAAGCCTTTTCTTAAGAGAACATGAATCATGGTGTGCAGATGAAACTAAAACCCATGCCAGTGATGGCCAGAGATGCCTTAGATAAACAAGTGTGTCCTGTGTGTCAAGGCTATTATCAAGCAGCAAGTAGAAGGAACTCTATTCAGGAAGGTGACAGAATTCGTCTCAAGTCCTGTAGCTGAAATGAGTAGGAAGAGGACCCAATCCATTAATGGCTGGCCAAAAGAAAGTTATGAAGTTTCTTCTACTCCTAATTGGATATTAGCAAGCTTTTTCTTAATCTAAGACTAGGAAGAAGGAAAGGACTGATAGTAAAGACCTCAGTATTCTTATAAATAATAACTGCTGTCCAGTTGGTTCCAACTTACAGCAGCCCTGTTTAGGGTTTCGAGGAGTGGCTGGGGAGTTTGAACTGCTGACTTTGTCGTTTAACTGACCTTGCAGTCCGGTGCGTTTTCCTGCAGCACCACACCAGGACTTTGTAATAGTTAAATCATGCAACATCCCTATCAGTGATGCGTTTCACCCACCCCCCACCCCCAGTTTACAATGAAAAAACCTAGGATTTGATTTAAGGAATTTGCCCTGTTTGAATAGTAAATTGGCATCAGTTGTGCTCCTGTAGATCCAGTTCTGTGCAGTAGAAAAGTTGTTCATGACCATAAATCTGGCCTCCGAGCTGCCAAGGGGGCTAAGCATGACGCTCACCCGAGTTCTCTGTGCACTGTTCTGAGTGCTTTCCTTGTGCCCACTCCAACTTCACACCTCCCTGAGGAGGTGGAGTCTGTTGTTTCTCAGTTTCCAGATGAGGAAATTATGGCACAAGACTTCATGGCAGGATTTGGACCCAGGCTTTGTGACGCCAGGGCTCTGCAGCCTCGATGAGTTTTGGGGAAGACTTGTTAGAATGAACGTACCATTAGTAGCTGTGCACTCTGCTATTAATAGTAAGTTGGGTGCAGGATTGAGGATCTGGACTCTGATCATAAAGCATTTGTGGATGATAGCAGGAGTCTTACAGCCTGGTTTTCCCGGACAAAAGAATGTTAAATATTTGAGAAACACTCACAAGGAACCAAGGTTCTATTCCTGGCATTTAAAAGCTTTAGCAAATTGTTTTTAATTGTCTTTTAGGTGAAAGTTTACAGGATAAATTCGTTTCTGATTCAATGGTTTGTACACAAAGTGCCCATGACATTGGTTTTATCCCCCCAGTGTGTCAGAACTCATTCCCATTCCTCCATAACTTTCCCTGTTTTCATCCAGATTTTCTCCTTCCCGTCTTCTTATTTTTAGACAAACAAAACAATCAATTGTATGAGATTAAAAATTTTGATCTCATATAATTGATCTAAGGAACACATTCTTTTGGGGGTTATTAGGGAAGTGTTTTGCTTCCTTTTCATTCCAGTTCCACCTCCTGTTAATTCCCTACCCATAAAATATAATATCTCTCTTCAACACAAAAACAAGCGAATATGTAAGAGATCCATTCATTCTGTACTCCAGAGGTGGAATTTTTTAGTGTTTGTATGGACAGATATGAATGGAAAAGGAGTGGGCAAGGGATCCAGGAAAAAAGCAAAGAGAGAAGGGATGAGAGAGAGATGGAATGTTTTAAAGAAACATTTACTAGCTGCCTACAGGGTGCCAGGCTTTGTAAGGAAAACCAGCTGAACAGGACTGAGCCCCTAAGAAGTGTACCTTGGGGATATACATTGACTGGGCCTTGAGAATAGATTTTAGTATAAAGTTAGAACCATGAAATTTTGGAGCAGTTTTGAAAGTGAAAAGATGATTTCTTTGGAAGAAAGAAGAGTAATGCTGGCAGGTTTAAATACCCAGAGCAAAAGTTCAATAATTTTATGAAAATGTGACTGATAAATGAGAGGAATGGGAGGAAAAAACGTGTTGGGTTTTTTTGTGTGTGTATGCGATTTGTTGAAAGGAAGTTCATTCTAGCAGTGGAATTTTAGCCAGATTTAAAAAAAAAAAAATGTAGCCAGGAGAAATACAAAAGTAGGATAGCGTTTCACTACAGTGTGGCTATGTAATGACTCATATTTAAAATAGAAATGAATAGGGACTCAGAAGCTAATGGACTTGGTGGCAACAAAGAGATAGGGGACACTCAGATGTGATAGTGTTGGAAGATATGGTCATATTTATACTGAGAGCAAAAAGGTTTGAAAGGGATCTGTTTTCAGCATGTGAAACTGAAGAGCAATATCAGAGAATCTGGCCAGGTATGTCATCAGAGCGACCCAAAAGGACAGAGTGGAACTGTGCCGTAGGGTTTCTAAGGCTGCCATCTTCACTGAAGCGGACTCTTTTGGATTCGAACCACTGGCCTTTCATTACCAGTTGAGAGCTTAATCACTGCACTATATATATGTTGTTAAGTGCAGTCAAGTCAGTTCCAACTCATAACAACCCCTGTTGTAAGATTTATCAGGAGTGGCTGGTGAGTTTGAACCGCTGACCTTGTGGTCCAGTGCCTACAGATAGGGATATTTGATCTCGTACATTCTATTCTATATATCCTATATACGTGTCTGCCAAAAAGTCCTGCTGCAGGTGGTGGCGGTTCTGTGCCGTGGAGTCGGTTCCGACCCATAGCGACCCTGGACAGGGTTTCCGAGGCTGTAAATCTTTACAGGAGCAGAAAGCCTCATCTTTCTCCCACAGAACAGCTGGTTCAGACTGCTGACTGTGAGGTTAACAGTCCGATTTGTAACCACTAGGCAATGCTTCAGCATTGCTGTGTGATGCCGCATAGCTTTCAGTGGAGCTGCCAGACCAAAATAGATGAGGAAGAGACCTAGGGATCGCTTTCTGAAAATGGGCTCATGAAAATCCTGTGGAGGAATACAACTGTCTAATTGCAACCAGTCATGGGGTTGGCACAAGCCCAGGCAGTGTTTCATTCCGTTGTGCATGAGTCTGACTCAGAGCAGCTGACAGTATGTTGTTGTTGTTGTTAAGTGCCGTCGAGTCGGTTCCGACCCATAGCGACCCTGTACAGGGTTTCCGAGGGTGTAAATCTTTATGGGAGTAGAAAG